GTTGATTGTCTGCCCCGCCCTGATGTGTCTCACCTGTGTCCCTGTGTCTATATGTACCTGTGCTTCTCTCCCCTTATGCTGGTCCATTGTCTTGTCAACGTCCTGTCTTGTCTTGTTCATGTCTCTGTCTGTTTCCGTCCTGTTCCTGGTCTTGTTTTGGTTTTGGATTTGAGTTGGTTTCATCTGGACGTTTTTATCATTAAACCCTTATTTTTGGCATTCCTGCAATTTTGGGTCTTCATTCACTTCATCACATGACAGGTCCTCACAGTCCCAGACCCTGGTCCTCACAGTCCCAGACCCTGGTCCTCACAGTCGTGGGAATAACGATGAACAATGACTCTTGTAACACAATGTCTAGAATTCAGTGATTTGCAAAAGTATTTGCCCCCCTTGAACCTTTCAACATTTCACCACATTTCAGGCTTCAAACATAAATATATAACAATTACATTTTTTGTCAAGAATCAACAACAAGTGGGACACAATCGTGAAGTGGAACGAAATTTATTGGATAATTTAAACTTTTTTAACAAATAAAAAACTGAAAAGTGGGGCGTGCAATATTATTCGGCCCTCTTGCGCTAATACTTTGTAGCGCCGCCTTTTGCTGCAATTACAGCTGCAAGTCGCTTGGGGTATGTCTCTATCAGTTTTGCACATCGAGAGGAATTCTTTCCCATTCTTCCTTGCAAAACAGCTCGAGCTCAGTGAGGTTGGATGGAGAGCGTTTGTGAACAGCAGTCTTCAGCTCTTTCCACAGATTCTCGATTGGATTCAGGTCTGGACTTTGACTTGGCCATTCTAACACCTGGATACGTCTATTTGTGAACCATTCCATTGTACATTTGGCTTTATGTTTTGGATCATTGTCCTGTTGGAAGATAAATCTCCGTCCCAGTCTCAGGTCTTTTGCAGACTCCAACAGGTTTTCTTCCAGAATGGTCCTGTATTTGGCTCCTTCCATCTTCCCATCAATTTTAGCCATCTTCCCTGTCCCTGCTGAAGAAAAGCAGGCCCAAAGCATGATGCTGCCACCACCATGTTTGACAGTGGGGATGGTGTGTTCAGGGTGATGAGCTGTGTTGCTTTTACGCCAAACATATCGTTTTGCATTGTGGCCAAAAAGTTTGATTTTGGTTTCATCTGACCAGAGCACCTTCTTCCACATGTTTGGTGTGTCTCCCAGGTGGCTTGTGGCAAACTTTAAACAAGACTTTTTATGGATATCTTTGAGAAATGGCTTTCTTCTTGCCACTCTTCCATAAAGGCCAGATTTGCGCAGTGCACGACTGATTGTTGTCCTATGGACAGACTCTCCCACCTCAGCTGTAGTTATCTGCAGTTCATCCAGAGTGATCATGGGCCTCTTGGCTGCATCTCTGATCAGTCTTCTCCTTGTTTGAGATGAAAGTTTGGAGGGACGGCCGGGTCTTGGTAGATTTGCAGTGGTCTGATACTCCTTCCATTTCAATATAATTGCTTGCACAGTGCTCCTTGAGATGTTTAAAGCTTAGGAAATCTTTTTGTATCCAAATCCGGCTTTAAACTTCTCCACAACAGTATCTCGGACCTGCCTGGTGTGTTCCTTTGTCTTCATGGTTCTTTCTGCGCTTTAAACAGAACCCTGAGACTATCAAAGAGCAGGTGCATTTATACGGAGACTTGATTACACACAGGTGCATTCTATTTATCATCATCAGTCATTTAGGACAACATTGGATCATTCAAAGATCCTCACTGAACTTCTGGACTGAGTTTGCTGCACTGAAAGTAAAGGGGCCGAATAATATTGCACACCCCACTTTTCAGTTTTTTATTTGTTAAAAAAGTTTAAATTATCCAATAAATTTCGTTCCACTTCACGATTGTGTCCCACTTGTTGTTGATTCATGACAAAAAATTAAAATTGTATATCTTTATGTTTGAAGCCTGAAATGTGGCAAAATGTTGAAAGATTCAAGGGGGGCGAATACTTTCGCAAGGCACTGTATATGTGACAAGACTGATTGTAAAGCCCACTATTAGCTTTGTTACACATGTACATGTTGGTTTGAGACAACTTTTGGCATTAAAACATGTGTTTAACAGTTCTTCCTCTCTGTTCCTTCGGTTACTACAACCGTATACTACACAAAAATACTGCATTGTATCTATGAAAGTCAGGAAAGTAAAGACTGCAGGCTGTCAGTTATCTCTGTGGCCGTAAATGCTACGCATGCTAATGCTAATGCTAGCGCATTTCTCCTGTTCCGTATTAGGCATTTTCCTAAAAATCAAAACCTGTTAGTGAAATAGCAAAATAGAGACTCCATAAGTTCCCCACTTGATATGAGCATTTGCCACAACTGTACACGCCACAGAAAAAGAGCATTTTGACTCGGAATCAGTGAATTTTTACATTGTTCCTAATGGAGAGATTTACTTCCTGTCCCTCGGAGCACTCTCGCACTGCTGAGTGACGTCAGGTGCAACCCAGCAATTGGACATGAGCTAAAACAGGCCTGTCCAAGTCACGGCCCACGAGCCAAATCCGGCCCTCGGGACAATCGCTCTCGGTCCGTTTGATTTTATGTTAAAATGGCAATATGTAAGATTTTCATGTCAAGTCCTCATTAAAGGGCCTTAATCTGTCATCATTAAAGGGCCCTAATCTGTCATCATTAAAGGGTCCTAATCTGTCATCATTACAGGGCCCTAATCTGTCATCATTAAAGGGCCTTTATCTATCATCATTAAAGGGCCCTAATCTGTCATCATTACAGGGCCCTAATCTGTCATCATTAAAGGGCCCTAATCTGTCATCATTAAAGGGTCCTAATCCGTCATCATGAAAGGGCCCTAATCTGTCATCATTAAAGGGCCCTAATCTGTCATCATTAAAGGGCCCTAATCTGTCACCATTAAAGGGTCCTAATCTGTCATCATTAAAGGGCCCTAATCTGTCATCATTAAAGGGTCCTAATCTGTCATAATTAAAGGGCCCTAATCTGTCATCATTAAAGGGCCGTAATCTGTCTTCATTAAAGGGCCCTAATCTGTCATAATTAAAGGGCTCTAAACTGTCATCATTAAAGGGCTCTAAACTGTCATCATTAAAGGGCACTAATCTGTCATCATTAAAGGGCCCTAATCTGTCTTCATTAAAGGGCCCCAATCTGTCATCATTAAAGGGCCGTAATCTGTCTTCATTAAAGGGCCCTAATCTGTCATAATTAAAGGGCTCTAAACTGTCATCATTAAAGGGCTCTAAACTGTCATCATTAAAGGGCACTAATCTGTCATCATTAAAGGGCCCTAATCTGTCTTCATTAAAGGGCCCCAATCTGTCATAATTAAAGGGCTCTAAACTGTCATCATTAAAGGGCACTAATCTGTCATTATTAAAGGGCCCTAATCTGTCATCATTAAAGGGCCCTAATGGGGTCTGTCTGGGGTCCACACAGGATCAATTCACATACACACATTTCAAACAGAAAGTAAAACAAAAACATGAGTGGCTCAGTTGGTAGAGCATTGGGCTTTGAGCCTGAAGGTCTGTTGTTGTGTCCTTGGGCAAGACACCTCACCTGGTGCTCTGTGACGTGGGTGCATGGAGGGGAAGTGGGGAAAATGGATGGATAAATACACATTAATTGAGTTTCCCTTGATGACACAGACGCTGATTCAAAGCAGCTGAGGCTCGAGACAAAACGTTCTCCTCGTTCAGCTGGAATTTGGAAAAGGAAAAACTAAATGTCAAGAGTTGAGTCCATAGACTGTAAATATCAACGGACATAGTCTTCGCCGGTCAGAATAATGTGACATCACTTTTGCCATTTATAGGCAGTTTCAAAATTAGCCTGCATTAGCCTCATTCATTTAACAAGTGCATCTAAAGTCCACAGCGACTAAACTAGACTGGTCCAAAAATAAACACTCCCCTCAACATCCACAGCATCTGGAAAGAAGAGAACCAAGAACCACTTTTGGACCAAGAACCACTTTTGGATCAAGAACCACTTTGACACGAATAAACAAGGAAGGACCCAAAAACAGAACTGCAAATACAATAATATTTAATAAATGCCACAAAAAGTAGAAACTGAAACAGGGAACTACACAAGGGGGAAAACAACAATGTACCGACAACAAGAGGACATGAGCACAGGGTCTAAATACACACAGGTACACACAGGTACACCACAGGTGCACACAGGTACACCACAGGTGCACACAGGTCCACCACAGGTGCACACAGGTACACACAGGTACACCACAGGTACACCACAGGTGCACACAGGTACACACAGGTGTAGCACATCAGGGAGGGGTAAACAATCAACAAGACATACAGGAAGTAAAACTCACAACAAGCGAACCAAAAACCATGACACTTATTCCGGGTCCACCCCCACAGGCCCAGGGTGGAACTGCAGCATGTCAACGCACCTTATTTTGGACATTTTTACCCGGGACCCGCCCACACTGGCTGAGTCACATGTAGATGGCAATAACCACTGTTTTTCCAAGTTTTTCCACAAAGAATTATAATAATAATACACCATTAAGGAGAATACATAGTAACATGTGAAAACTAGTGCTAGAACCAAACTATTGTGAGAGCCGTAAGCTAGTTTTAACACCTTTTATGTTTTGAAAGTTGGGTACCTCAGCTTTAATGCACTTCAACTTTCCTGCTGGTCTAAGTCAGAGCGAGTCCCAGGTAATCTCCCCGCTGCCTCGCTCTCGTCCTCTGACAGCGACTTCATCATCTTTTGGCTGTGACCACATCGCAGCAGCCGCCGCGATAAGAGCGTGGCGGAGCGACTTATCTGAAGCACTGCTGAGTGGAGGCCCTGATAAAAAATGAAATAAATAAAAAAGCTATAGCAAAGCCTTGGACGACTTGTTGTGACAGCAGCCCAATCCAAAGCCGGGAGGAAAGAGAAAAAAGAAAAACGGGAAAGAGAAAAAAGAAAAACTCGGAACACATGGGGTGTAATGAGAATCTGACAGAGATGGCGGACAAAGAGGCGCATGCAGAGTTGGAGGTAAAATGGCGACGTGGGAGATTTGGAGAAGGTTTTACATTTGCAGATAACGGCGGCGGTGGTGGAGATGGGATCACAGAAAGAACACGGCGGCGATAAGAACGGTGACTTTGGTCTGGAAACATGCACAATATAAACACAGATTACTTAAACTTTGGCCAGGATTCCATTGAAAGACAGGTTCTTAATCGCAGTGGGATTCTACTGGTTAAATAGAAGAAGAAGAAGAAAAAGAAGAAGAAGAAAAAGGAGAAGAAGGATAAGAAGAAGGAGACACATCAAGAAATGCAGCAAACATTACTTCCGGGCTCATTATGGGCAAAGTGGGTTTTGCCCAAGGACACAACGACAGCAGACATTAGTGCAGAAGGTTTCGAGGTGGACTAGAACCCACAACCTTCAGGCTCAAAGGCCGATGCTTTACACACCGAGCCACTGTTGCCCCTGGGACAAATCAGACAAATTCAGCCACATCTTGAGTTAAACAAAGTAGTGGTGGGAGGGGCCGATGGCACAGACTGGTTCCCTCGCTTCTGTCAGTGTGCCCCAGGGCAGCTGTGGCTACAGTAGTTTATCACCACTGTGTTTGGTGTGAAATAATAATGACGTGAAGAGACTTTGAGTGTCCTGAAAAGCTCTGTTTAAAACCAATACATTATTATTATTATTATCATTATTATTATTATTATTGTCATTATTATTATCATTATTATCATTATTATTATCATTGTTATCATTATCATTATTATTATTATTATTATGATTATTATTATTATTATAATTATTATCATTATCATTATCATTATCATTATTATTAACAGACAGACAAACTCAGGGGATCACATTACCCCATGGTGGAGGAAATGCTCCGGTCAGGCTTCTCTCTCTCTCTCTCTCTCTCTTTCTGTTTTTGGTCTTATCGATGCCAAAACACTAGAAATTCTGCTTCTGATAGAAAACTGTCCCTCTCTCTCCGGGTCTGGATCCAAAACGTCCCGTCTCCGTCTGACACGCGCACCCATCTGTGAAATAATATTTTGGTTCCATTTCATTCCGATGTTTAGCACAAGGTCAGAGCGAACAGCCCTTCCCCGGTCTCTGCAGAAACACGGAGCACTCTGCTTCTTTGACACCTTTTGATAGATTTTGACTTTGTGCAAACGACACAGAGTTTGTTCTGAAGGACGCTCTGGGTCACATCTCACTGGGTCACATCTCACTGGATCACATGTCACTGGGTCACATCTCACTGGGTCACATCTCACTGGGTCACATCTCACTGAGTCACATGTCACTGGGTCACATCTCACTGGGTCGTATCATGGGTCACATCTCTCTGGGTCACATCTCACTGGGTCGTATCATGGGTCACATCTCTCTGGGTCACATCTCACTGGGTCGTATCATGGGTCACATCTCTCTGGGTCACATCTCACTGGGTCACATCATGGGTCACATCTCACTGGGTCGTATCATGGGTCACATCTCTCTGGGTCACATCTCACTGGGTCGTATCATGGGTCACATCTCTCTGGGTCACATCTCACTGGGTCGTATCATTGGTCACATCTCTCTGGGTCACATCTCACTGGGTCACATCATGGGTCACATCTCACTGGGTCACATCATGGGTCACATCTCTCTGGGTCACATCTCACTGGAAAAAAGAAGTTTGGGCCAAGATTTTGTGGAAATGGAACGTTTAAAACAGGGGTCTCCAAGCTTTTTCAATCAGAGAGCTACTTTAAGCGACAGAGAGCTACTTTTTACACACAAAGAGACCGAGAGCTACTTTATACACACAAAGAGGCAGAGAGCTACTTTAAACACACAAAGAGGCAGAGAGCTACTTTAAACACACAAAGAGGCAGAGAGCTACTTTATACACACAAAGAGGCAGAGAGCTACTTTTTACACACAAAGAGACAGAGAGCTACTTTATACACACAAAGAGACAGAGAGCTACTTTAAACACACAAAGAGGCAGAGAGCTACTTTATACACAAAAAGAGACAGAGAGCTACTTTATACACACAAAGAGGCAGAGAGCTACTTTATACACAAAAAGAGACAGAGAGCTACTTTATACACACAAAGAGGCAGAGAGCTACTTTAAAGACACAAAGAGGCAGAGAGCTACTTTATACAGACAAAGAGACAGAGAGCTACTTCATACACACAAGAGACAGAGAGCTACTTTATACACACAAAGAGACCGAGAGCTACTTTAAACACACAAAGAGGCAGAGAGCTACTTTATACACACAAAGAGACAGAGAGCTACTTTATACACACAACGAGACAGAGAGCTACTTTAAACACATAAAGAGGCAGAGAGCTAATTTTATTAAAAAATGCAGAGACACTTTACCGTGAACAAACTCAAATCACAAAAATTCCGTTTAAAATGACTTCTCTAGGTCTACAAACCTTTAACCTTTAACCTTTGACCTTTCGACAGCGGCTGTGACATGAGACGACTCTTTAACAGCTCCATCCATTTCTCTGTAACAAGGTGTCGTCCTTAACCGCGTTTGGGCGAGACCATCATCCTCCGTTATAAATTTAGCCCGAGTCGTGGCCCCCCCGTGACCGCAGCCGTTCCCAACAGACGGGGGGGGGGGGGGTCATCCAGGCCAGAGCCGCCAAAGTGGACCAAAGCGGACCAGACAAGTGTGGAAGATTTAGTGCTCTGCGTTTAGACTCATCACGGGTTTGTCGGAGTCAGCAGCTGCAGACCGTTGTCCGCTGACTGTCCTTCAGCAGCACAAAGGGGGGGGTCCTGAGTCTCTCTAAGTCCCTGTCCCCCCCCCACTGCGAGACCACAGACCAGGGGAAAATCACTGTCATTGCTGTGATAGAGATGGATCCGAAATATTGCGTTTTTTTAACCTTTTTCTGTGAAAGTTCCCAGAAGAAATGTTGATTCTTGGATGTCTTGTAAATGTGAGATTAATAAAGTTTATTTTTTTCAATTATTGTAAAATAGAATTGTCCAAGTGTGGTCTCATTGGGTCTAGTTCGAAGGTCCCATGTTTTTGTACTTTGATGTTTGTGTGTAAATATATTTCTGTATTTTTTTATTTTATATATATATATTTATTTTTGTCCCTGTGTGTACAGCACTTTGGAGAGCCGAGGCTGTTGTATAAGTGCTCTACGAATAAATATTGGATTGATTGATGTCAAACTACAGTTTATGTGCAGTGACGGAACGAGAGACATTGTGCTTCACTTTGAGTCATTTTTAAAGGACCTAACGTTGAAATCTCAAGTCTTGTTCTTGTTTGGTTCTATCACTAACCTTCTCATGCATTTACCTCCGTCACTTCTTTAGATCATCTTTTCAGACAGAATACGAGAGGACCAGGCCTCTCTCAGCAAATCAGCTCTCAGAATGTAAAATATAAAAGGTTTTCGGTCTGATTTGTTCGCAGAAATTGAACAACAAAATTACTCTTTGCTTTGATAAGATCTAAATGTAGGTTACAGACTTCAGTTTTAAAGGTCCCATGTTACGCTGTTTTACTTTTCTCTGCTTTAAACATCTTTACTGTGATACGTTTTTTAATTGATTCCCTCAAGCTTTAGTGACAGACGATTCACTTTCACACATGACTCCAGAAGCCCCGCCTCCAGGAGGTGACCAAAACAGCGAATCAGCTCACAGGCCTTTCCCACCGTAGAGTAAGTATTTTTTAATCGTAGGTAGGTTCTGCCAGTTACCTACAAGAATTACACGGATGTATTATTACTATTATTATTATTATTATTATTATTATTGTCAATAGTCTAATTCACCATCGTCCTCCAGCACTTTCACTTTGGACTAGCTTTCTGATTGGCTGAGATTTGTCACTGTGGCCGAACCTACCTACGAATAAAATACTAGCCTTTTAAATACAGCTCAATGCAAGAAACGGCTCTAATGTCTAAGTTCTGAGTGTTGTGTTTATAATCACGCGTGTGCTGAGGATGTGCTGATATATGGGACCTTTAATAATGCATTTTGCGGTCAAGTATGTGGCCAATGAAAAACTGAGAACCTCAAACTTATGTGTAGTTATAAATCTGAAACACATTACCATAAGCCCAGAGCCGTATTATGACCGGGTCTCTTCCTTTTCCTTTGTCCTCTCTTTTTTATTATAGCTTCATTCTCTCCCAACGTTACACTCGAGCACTTTTAATCCTGCCGACCGATTTCAGTAAACTATAAAATTAAATATGGTCCCTCCCGTGCGGATAGGATTAAAACATTCTTATTACCGCCGCCGCCGCCGAAGGAGAGAGGTGAGCAGGGAAACCGGTCGAACTCCTCCACAGCCAAAGCCGCGGTAATTAGAACGCAAGATTAAAAAATGATGTCTGCAGATCGATCGCATAGAAACTGACAACTGGATCTGGGTCTCGGGTCCAGAAATGTGGATTTAAGGAGTAAGTAAGTAAGTAATGTTTATTTATATGTGCTATATAAATAAACATTACTTACTTACTTACTCCTTAAATTTTACAGCCCAAGGTACAGACCCAAAGCCCTTTACAATGTTCAGAGTCAGATATTGTTCCAATCCTTCCACACACGGTGATGACAGAAGCGAGTCCAGAACACACTGGACCATCAGCTCCAACACCATCCATTCACTCTCTAATTTACATTCAGACCTATTGTGCATGTTTTTAGTGGTAGGGGAAACCGGAGCACCCGGAGGAAAACTACACAGGGATTCGAACCTAGGACCTTCTTGCTGAGAGGCGAGAGTGCTAACCACGCCGCAGTAGAGGCAGGACTGTTTTCAAGGGACCACACAGAGGTTTTGTTTCTGTTCTAAACCCATGATGCTCGGATGATTCAGCAGCATTGTGAAATAATTTGCTGGAATGACTTCATAATGCTGAAAAACATGTACTTAACCAGTGAGATAAGCTCCACGCGGTGAGTTCTGGCGCCCGGATCACAGCAGGAGCCCGCAGGAGTCCGCGTGGCCCCTGCCGTCTGTTGGAGCCGCTTTTAATGCACTCAACAAACGACACTGACTCCACATGAACTCAGGGTACAGTCTGTATGCAGTGGTTTGAAGGACATCAGCTGGTTTTCATATTTAATACTTTAAAGGAGCAGTTTGTAAAAGTCTGGCCAAAAGTGGTACTGCAGCCTCTCCCACTCTCCCTGACTCAGGTTGCCAGATATGCAGACGAATCCAGCTGGGACCATAACAGCTGAATAGACAAGAGTTTTGTCAACAACAAATCTATAACCAACACCTTTTTCACAAAGATAGAAATCCTGGTTTTATTCCTTGTTTTGTCGTTAATGATTTGAGAATCATAACGAGACCTTTTTTAGTTCTGCGCCACATGGTACTTTACCAGTGAGATTAGCTCCACGCGGTGAGTTCTGGCGCCCGGATCACAGACTTTCTGATTGGTCAAACGGTGGAGGGCGGGACATCGAAATGAAAACAATAACAAGATTTAGAGGCTGGAAAAGTAATTTAGAAATTCAAATATCTCTGAACTACTGTTATCAGTTAAAGAAGTATTGGAAAAGAGCAGTTTATTATTATGACAGATTAGGGCCCTTTAATGATGACAGATTAGGGCCCGTTAATGATGACAGATTAGGGCCCTTTAATGAAGATAGATTAGAGCCCATTAATGATGACAGATTAGGGCCCTTTAATGATGACAGATTAGGGCCCTTTAATGATGACAGATTAGGGCCCTTTAATGATGACAGATTAGGGCCCTTTAATGATGACAGATTAGGGCCCTTTAATGATGAAAGATTAGGGTCCTTTAATGATGACAGATTAGGGCCCTTTAATGATGAAAGATTAGGGTCCTTTAATGATGACAGATTAGGGCCCTTTAATGATGAAAGATTAGGGTCCTTTAATGATGACAGATTATAGAGCTAACACCAGAGCCTCAGTCAGACAAAAACACGGTCCTAAAATAGTAATAAAAGTCAGATAAATGATGTCAGGAGGAGACTGCATGCTAATAACAGTCTGTATTAGCTTCACCTTCTCTGCGCTGCTAAAGCCGGTGAAATAAACTGGATTTAACTGGAAAAATTTGAGAATTGAGAAGGAAAACGTGGCCGTCATTGAGCCGGGCGCAGGTCAGAGGTGGGTGCAGTTCAGAAAGCTGCTGAATAATGGAACCGCTGCTTCTCTGAGCGCGGCGTAGTGGACGGAATGAGAAATAATCGCAGCCTCAACATGTGTGGAGCCGGGTCATCGCCAAAGTGAGCATTTTTAACCAAAAATATGACTCATTTTGACCATTAAACAATATAAATAGACTACTCACTTTCATTTCATGTCTAAAAATGTGGGGATTATTTTTGGTAGATGTGTGAAGGCTGAACACATACTTATGCCTGTAATACCCTTTGCTGCCAGCAGAGGGAGGAGCTGCTTTGAGTATGTTCCACGTGAAAATGGCCGACAGCAAACACACACGAGAGTAATATATGGGATTTATTTTTCATTTCATTTTCAGAGGAACCTGTTTGACCGCACGACCCTGTGTTAGCATCGATATTAAGATTTATCACAATATATTTAAACCGAGGCGTTCCCACCGAAAGATAGACCAACGGGATCTGAGTGGAAGACAAAACAGTCATTGGAAAATATCTGAACTAGAAAACACTTTGATGGAGGAAGTCGGAAAACCATAGGGAGAGACCACATGGTATAGGACCATAGGGAGAGACCACATGGTATTGGACCATAGGGAGAGACCACATGGTATAGGACCATAGGGAGAGACCACATGGTATTGGACCATAGGGAGAGACCACATGGTATTGGACCATAAAGGGGCAGAGACCACATGGTATTGGACCATAGAGAGGGACAACATGGTATTGGACCATAGGGAGAGACCACATGGTATTGGACCATAAAGGGGCAGAGACCACATGGTATTGGACCATAGAGAGAGACAACAGCTACGGCGTCATTGTCCGAGGAATGGTCAAAGTCCAAGTTTGAAAAAGGCCATTTTGAGCAGAAGGGACAGGTTTAGATGAGTAGAATGAGTGGTAACTTTCGCTCTTACTTTTTAATTGATGATGAAAAAATAACAGGCAACTCATGTTGCCTGTTATTTTTTTAACCGACGGCACGATGCCAGAAGAATCAAAGCCGGACTCGGGCCTTTCTAAACCAGTCTCCGTCAGAACTCTGGTGTTTCATAGAAATTCCCTTTGAGCTGGGTTTACAGCACTTCCCATTTATATAATGAGCTTCTTCTTGTGATTTCAGGACGTATCACTGATGCGGTTTGAAGCCCTGGATGAAGATGGCCTCGGTTCACACACGGCTGAAGTCTCGCACTCAGTCGAATCAAAAACACAAACATTTGAGCTGCGTCTTTCTGGCGCCGGACAAAGAGACGCTTTTCATTTGTCTTTAAAGAGGTTTTGGAGTCTGCTTTAGTCGCTGCGGCATGCAAAAGAAGTGGTTTGTTTTGTCTGAGGGTTTTCACGCAAATAGGTTTAAGTCAGTTTAGTCTATAACAGAAAAAAACAGACACAGACCTTGAGTCCTCCATGAGCTGTTAATAATAATGCATCGGTTTTATATTAAGTTTTTCAAGGCATCCAAAGTCTCTTCACAACATTATTCATTCACTCCAAAAACAGGGATGATAAACTACTATTGTAGCCACAGCCGCCCTGGGGCACACTGACAGACCAGTCTGTGCCATCGGCCTCTCCGAGCACACGCTAGACAC